ATGTCATTTATTAAAGTAAATGACGGAAAAGTAAAACACAGTTAACAAAATGGGGGTCAGAAAAAGGAGGACTCAAATATAGAGTATTACACATCTTAGTCAAAATATTACACAATCTGACCCCCAGCACCATAATGACATTGTAACATGATGTACATAGGCAAAAGGGGGGTCAACCAGACTAGAATAATAATTCAAACCCTGTAATCTTTCACACCCCCTTATAAACATCATAAGTTTGGAAGACATATACAAAATGCTCTAAACTGCTGCCTGTCATCAAAAAAGGTGGGAAAACAAAATAACAAACAGCCAATAACAATACAATCGCGCAGGCATTAAATTGAACACAACTATGTTTCTTTCACCGCCGAGGAAAAACCATATATAAAAAGCAACAATGCTTTATGTTGAAAAATCATATGGAAAACTGCAGACCGAAGCAAAAGTGCGACGTACACAAAATAAATGTCGGACTCATTCTCAGTAACCTAATACATAGATTTGCCATTTATTACAATGTACAAAAAGTTTATACTTGTTCAGTTAGAACGTGCGGTAGAAATTAAGTACTATAAATCTCTTTTAAACCCATTCAAACACTATCAAAAAAGATGGGTAAAACATAGCAACAAAAATGTCAACCTGAAAGAAATAACAAGCATTGGTGGCAGATGGGGTGGATGGTGGGTTCGAAAAATTCAGCAGTTCAATAAACCATGCTTTCTCTTTTGGTAAACGGATCAATAATGATCACGTGATGGATAAGAGCTTTGCTGATTGGTTGAACCCATATTTAGATGTAGGAAAATGGGTAAAATTAGTTCAATAAAAGAACCGAATAGCTGCTTAGTATAAAGCTATGTACAATACAGATACTGTTATATAATAACATAATAAAACAAGAACATGTCACATAAATGAAATTATTTGCAATAATTACTATTTTATGTTCCTTAGTTCTCCTGCCAAACGACTGAGCTTGTTTTTTGATAAACAGGCAAAAACAAATAACATCATGCTGAAGTGAAATATGTCATTTATTAAAGTAAATGACGGAAAAGTAAAACACAGTTAACAAAATGGGGGTCAGAAAAAGGAGGACTCAAATATAGAGTATTACACATCTTAGTCAAAATATTACACAATCTGACCCCCAGCACCATAATGACATTGTAACATGATGTACATAGGCAAAAGGGGGGTCAACCAGACTAGAATAATAATTCAAACCCTGTAATCTTTCACAAGGTACAATATACATGCATTTCAAGTTGACCCCCTTATAAACATCATAAGTTTGGAAGACATATACAAAATGCTCTAAACTGCTGCCTGTCATCAAAAAAGTTGGGAAAACAAAATAACAAACAGCCACAATCCAATCAGAGATTGGATCCACCCACCCAAAGGCGTCTTGGCAGGAGATCTTTTTTGTCCTTAGTTATGTTTTCACTCAGTCTTATTGGATGTTTCTTTTTCTTGTTCACAATAACTATTGTATTGTCTTTTGAACTGAGTATATGTCAATTATTTTTTTAAGGATGTTTAAATGCTTTTGTATTAATCATCCTGTTGAGGAATTTTGCGTCTCCTGCCAAGACGCCTTTGGGTGGGTGGATCCAATCTCTGATTGGATTGTGGCTGTTTGTTATTTTGTTTTCCCAACTTTTTTGATGACAGGCAGCAGTTTAGAGCATTTTGTATATGTCTTCCAAACTTATGATGTTTATAAGGGGGTCAACTTGAAATGCATGTATATTGTACCTTGTGAAAGATTACAGGGTTTGAATTATTATTCTAGTCTGGTTGACCCCCCTTTTGCCGGTCAGAAATATGTTCAAAACAAACAAAAGTGTTACGTAGCGCTCAAATTTACTCATTTTTTTTTTAAATTTTACATCATTCTATTTTAACAGAATTTGAGACGGATAGGGATCAGCAGGTAGCATCCACCTCAACATGCAGCGAGTTTCAGCGATCTTCAGACACGAGTACTTCAGTGCCACCTCCTTGCTCTAATAAAGAAAACAAAAAGGAACAGAGTTTAATAAATCTACAGAAAGATCTTCTAAAGACAGAAAAGAGAAAGTTAGAGTTGGAAATGGAGCTAATGCGTTTGAAGAAAAAGAAGATTTCGGAAGAAGTTGAAGTTTTGGGTTTAGAAAAAGAGAAGCTGAAAGAAGAAATAATGTTATTGAAGTTGAAAAAGAATTAAACGTATACTCTTATAAATGCAAATAAATCATCAATGAAATTATATATTATCTTTTTTAATATTTACGTATTCAGTGGCCAAAAAACACATTGGCAATGTGATCTCTAACGTGTTTTCCTTCGTGTTGCCCTCCTACTGCAGGCAGCGCCACCTCGTCGATTAGTTGCCCTTGTGCAGCTGGTATCACATCTATAATGTCTTGTCTTTCTATCCCAATATTGTGAAGAACTGTGCAGGCTACGATGACGGCGCATGCTCTGTCGGGCTCCACCCGTAAACCTGTCTGTAGACAAGGAAACCTTCTCTTTAGAATCCCAAACGCTTGTTCAATAACCACTCTCGTGCGACATAAAGAAGTATTAAACTTCTCCTGCGCTCTGGTACTGGGGGTCAAATAAGGAACCATAAGATACCTCTTGAGGGCATATCCTGAATCTCCCAATATAATACCATTTCGCGCACCTGAAAGCATAAAAATTCTATGTTCTGAACAGAATTTAAGAAAATTATCCAGTTAACTTAAAAAATACAGCACTTTAGAATGCCCTTTTGAATATCTCGCAAACTCAATTTATATGTTAATGTATGGCTGGATATTTTACGAGATTATTCTAACTTTTGAAATTTGTTATATAAGATTTTTTTTTTATTTATGCCTTACCAGTTTCGAAGAGTCTAGCAAGAGACGATTCTCTAAACACACGGGAATCATGGACACTACCCGGCCATTTTGCAACGCAGTTTACAAATCTAAACGAGGCATCACAGGCCATCTGAAAGAAAGTAATATTAACAATTCTTTTCCGTCAGTGTTTTTTTTTTTTGGGGGGGGGGGGGGGTATAAATTGGTGCTTGATATCTAAGCACCCCTCCCCTTAAGGCTTATCACACGATAATAAGTGATGTGTACATTTGTGACGTGTGATCACGGGCGTACTTTTTTTCAACTTTATTATATAGAAATTTAAAATCAAAGGTAAATTTATTTAAGAGTAAATAAATTCTTAAAGGTACTTGGACACAGAATTGAAGTTATTATTTTTGCTATAATATTACGACTTATATATTTTAATAGCATTTCACACAAAAATTAATTAAAAATCTTATTTCATATACAGGGTGTCCCAAAACATATGTTACACTTTTAAACCGTTATAAAAATTTAATGCCTCAAGTTACATTAATGAAATTTAGAATGTAAACTAAAATTATTATAATTTTTTTTGTCAAGCATACATTTTTTTTACAGTTTCCTTATTAATCATAAATATTTTTTCTTTAGAATAACATACATCATTTTACAGCATGTTCCAAATTACGTCCCTTGGAATTAACATTGTTTGAACACGATTTCCTAAGATTTTATTTACCAAGTTTTTAATGTAACATTCTATCAGTTTAGAGGTTTTTCCACATTAAAATTAGGTTTCACCAAACACAAGAATTTAAGATTCTCTTTAACAACATTGTCAAAATGGAAGTGGGCTTCATCGGAAAACGATGCATCTGTTAATTTTCAGAGTCAGGTCTAATTAAAATCAAATGGGCAAACTCTAAACAACCTCTAATTTCTGTCTCTTTCAAATGCTGCATTAAATTATCTTATGAGAAATCAGTTTTAAATTTAATTCGAGTATTGTATATGAACGCTAGCTTTACCAAAGGTGCTATCTTGTTCATACAGGACCCGTCTAAGGTATTTTTTAAAATAAAGTTTCAGTAGAGTTATAACTCTTTTAATGGTATTAATGTTCGGGCACTCCTTGGTCTTCTAATACCAGAATTAAGTCATGAGTACATTAATGGTGCCTTTAACTTCAAACTTCCTCACAAATCTGTAAATTAGCATTCTGTTGGGCACTTTCATTACAGGATGTTGTTTTCTCAGGGTTTTAATGACTAAAGTAGCAGATTTACACCTATATTAAATTTTGACAGTTTCTATCAGCTGTTCACATGAAGGTTCCATATTAAAAATATGATGACGTCATTTAGACATCATAATTACCTTAATTTTTAACAGAATTTCATGAAAGTTTGTCAAATAAAATGTATGCTAATACACTAGATGTTGACAAAATATCTTCGTGAATGCTTGTGGTTTGATAAAGTTATAGATGATTAAAAGTGTAACATATGTTTTGGGACACCCTGTAAAAGATATTAATATTTCAAATTTTTTGGCGGGTTTGATTGACACATCCTTGCACTTTCACAAATTAATTTTATTCTTAATCCTTAGGAAAAGTGGCAATCTCGTTGTGTATAAATGAAAAATATCAAATACTATAATCCAGAAATTTCAGAGTAGACATGTTTGAAAGCAAAACAAACACACAATATATGGTCAGTCCGTGCAGTTGTGGTAAGCAGACTGTGACGATATAGAACGCACCCGGTGAATTCTAAACATAAACAAAAACAGAACCCCTGCCCTGTTTACAAAAACTGTGTACATAACACGAGTGTGCTCGATTTGCTAAACCATGTACGCAACTCTTAGTTCGGAATGACGATACTTGTGAAGGAGTTTTGCTCTCTAACATCTCTACTCTGAATAAAATTATTTTTCTGGATAAAAGTTTTAATATTTCTCATTAATACACAACAAGATTGCCACTTTTCCTAAGGATTAAGAATACGGTTAAAATTTGGGAAAGTGCAAGCATGTGTCAATCAAACCCGCCGAGAAAATTGAAGTTTTAATAACTTTTAAATGAAATAAGATTTTTAATTAATTTTTGTGTGAAATGCTACTAAAATATATATGTCGTAATATTATAGAGAAAATATTGACTTCAAATTTGTGTCCAAGTACCTTTAATGCAAGGTATTAATTATTACCTGAACGTTAATCGCATAGTAGCCCTTTCTACATACAAACTCTGCCTCATTCTGTTTGGGACACTGGATTCTGATCAGTGTTCCATCAACATAGCATACCACGTTTGGAAAACCTTGAGAGTGAGAGAGAGAGAGAGAGAGAGAGAGAGAGAGAGAGAGAGAGAGAGAGAGAGAGAGAGAGAAAAGAAAAAGCTTTTATCTCATAAATTATTTATTGTAATTTATAGGAAAATAATTAAGTCCGAATTCTAGATATCGAAAGAAAACCTAATATAGTAAGGGGGGGCTGTAGTTTCTTATACAGTAAATTTTCCTAAAGATGCTGGTTGCCTTATCCTTCATCGCTTTTTTCTTTCTGTAAATCAAGCACTTGCAAATTCTGCGGTTTGATGCCAAATTTTTTTTTCTTTGCTTGTCATGGGGGAGGGGGTTGACTCCTTTTGAATACCTTGCTCCGGGCCTGTAATAAATATCGAGCGCATGTCGATCTATTTGTGGTTGTGTTAAAATTGTTAGAAAGTGGACATGGGGCAATGAGAGGTTATTATTTTATTTAGTTCAGTAAAATATTTTTTTAAATGATATACATGTAATATATAGGGGGTATAGCGTGTATAGGTTCATTTTTTTGTAGTATACAGAGGATATATTATAACCGTCAAATTGTACACCCAAACAGTATTAACAATCGTAAATAAACAAATAAGCACAAACACAAAAAACAGTTCTATTAAATATTAAATAAAATTTTATCTATAAATGATAGTGTCAAAAGAGTGTGTAAGAGGTTAAGTTACATGTACCGGCGGGATTCTGCATGAATTACATTACGACTTATTGAATTTGCTTCAATATTTTATTTTGTAAAAGTTTTTCCAAATAAAATTGATTTTAAAACAGATATGTTATAAAAATTATGGAAGTATCGCGCCATTGGCACGCCTTACTTTTGAGGGAAAAAATAAACGAGTTACCTCCCTTGTGTTTACTACAAGTTAAGTCATGTACTCTCGTTGAATGGGGAGAAAGGTGGTCGTACTGTTTTATTTACTGTTGTTATTTGGATATCGTATATGCAACTTACCTGCCAACTGATAAAATTTGGTCCGAATTAGCGGAAAATCATTCTGAGAGGGAAACTTGATGAATCGTGGTGTTAGAGCACTTAAAAGGGAAGTAACCGCTCGGACTGCCCGTCCTACAGCCGATTTGGAAACAGAAAGGGAATCGCCGATGAGTTGATAGAAAGATCCTGTTGCAAAGAAGCGCAAAGCAACTAGAACTTGCAACAGAGGTGGTAAGGGACAGCTTCTCCGTGTCTGGTGGACAAGGCCTTCAGCTATCAACCCGCAGATGTAAAATATCGTGGCGGATCTAAAGCGATACCGCTGAAAAATTTCATCCTCAGACAGTGATTCCATTGGATTGGTTCTGTCGTGTACAATTTAAAAATTAAACGATACTTACCAAGTAGAAGTTTGATTGTAATTCTCCGAAGTATACGTCAGTGTTAGAGATCAGGTGAGATTGCAAAGCAACTCCCAGAATTCAATCTTTAAAGATGTTGTGACCACAAAACAAAACTCTCAATACTGGGTGGGTGCGGTGTGGCACCTGATCTCTAATACTGACGTATACTTCGGAGAATTACAATCAAACTTCTACTTGGTAAGTATCGTTTAATTTTTAAATTCTCCATCAGCATACGTCAGTATCGAGATCATGTGAGAGATTTAAAGCGTGGTCACGACATTTTATTAAGCAATTAGTCAATTTAGCAATATGTCTTAATATTGCAGAAACCATTGACAATATGTAAAATTTACCAAATTTATTACAGTAATCATTAGTCAAAACATGTTAAGTTTTATCATCAGTTACTGAAGAGAATTTTGATAAAACTGACAGTCCAAAGTTATCACATTGAACAGTTTTGTTATAAAACTTTTGAAATGTTCCCGAATTAGACCATCCTGCAGCATTCATGATGCTGGTGAGCGACAGTCCCATAGACTTAGCGGCACTTGTTGCAGCAGAACGTGTGCTATGTGCACTGAAAATGTTTGTGTCAATTCCAGCTTCTGTCATCACTCGTTTGATCCATCGTGCTATGATTTGACTGGTTACAGCATTATGCGGTTTTCTAACCATTAATAATAATTTGGTGGTATCTCCTCTAATATCTGCTGTTTTCTTTAAATAAAGTTTCAACAGAGAATATACACACAGAGAAGGACATTCTGAAAATTTTCTTAACACTAAAGGCTCAACTTGAAAAGATGGTCTTGTTTGTTTGAGTAACACATTAAACCTAAATACTACACACTCATCATTTATGTACATATCTTCAATATCTAAAGAAGCTAACGACTGACAACGTTGTCCTGACACCAAAGCTAGTAACATAGTTAACTTAAATGTCACATATTGAAAAGCCAAAGTCTCATTTTCTAACAATTTAAGGTATTCTAACACTATATTTACATCCCAAGTAATTCCATATTTTGGCAAACAAGGTTTAATGTTAAATACACCTCTCAAAAATCTTTTAACTAATGGATGCTGACCTACAGGCATGTTATCTACAATAATAAATCCTGACAGAGCTGATCGAGCTGTGTTTATGGCACTGTAACCACAACCCTCTGTCATCAGCGATGCTAAAAAATCTAACACATTAGAAATGTTTGGTATACAACTATTACACTGTACTTCATTTGAATACTGAAACCACTTCTTTATGTACACATTGTATTGTTTACATGTGGAGCCTCTCCATGATTTCATAAGTACTGAAATTGATCTTTCCGATAAATCGAGTTTCTGGAAATTTTCCCTGAAACATGGCACACCATCAGATGAAGTTTTCTTGCCAGAGGATGGACTTTTGTAGGATTGTTTTTCAGCTGCAGCATCGTTTTGGATGGTTTCAGAACAAGTGGTGGTTTCACACACATTCTCAAGATGATTGGATACCAATTCTGTGTGTCCCATAGAGGTGTGACCAGCAGGCCTTCGGCTTTGTCCATCAGGATTTTTTGGCATACCCGGTCGATAATGCTAAATGGAGGAAAAGCATACAAAGACAAATTAGTCCAAGAAATTGTAAAAGCATCAACAAAAGATGCGCCAGGTTCATTTCTCCAACTCACAAATTGTTCTAACTGTTTGTTAAGTCGAGATGCAAACAGATCAATATGTGGTTTGAAATATACACAAGTTAAAGTCTTAAAAAGTTTTCCGTTCAACATCCATTCTGTTTCATCTCGAATCATCCTACTCTCCCTATCTGCCACTACATTTTCAACACCTGGTAAATGAACAGCTGTTAACCACATATTATTTTTATGCACTAACACCCATATTTCTCTGCATGGCTTTATAGTTACATGCAGTGGATTTTGTACCACCCATATTGTTAATATATGCTACAGTGGTAGAATTATCACAATAAATTTTCACATGTTTATTACACAATTTAGCAAGAAAACTTTGTAAGCCTAGCAAAACTGCATGTAATTCCAAATAGTTAATGTTAGGCAAGTACTGTTTTTCTTCTATGGACCAATGTCCTCCTGTAGAAACGCCACTGTATTCTGCCCCCCAACCTATTCCTGATGCATCAGTAGTAAGTGTTTCACTAATACACATTTGTCGAATGGGAGCTTTGATACCACTATTTATTTGTATTGACCACCATTCTAAATCTTGAAGTGCCTCTGTTGATAATGTCATTTTTGAATCAAAATTTCCCTTGTTACATTTAAGGGCTATGGCCTTTTCTCTCTCAAGTATTTTAGTGTATAACATTCCCAAAGGAATTGCTACCGAGGACGAAATAAGAACTCCTACTAGTTCCGCAACTTGTCTAATTGAGTATGATTTCTTTGAACAAAAATTTTTATAAAGATTGTTAAATTTCTTTATCTTCTCTGGAGTGAGGCTGATTGTCATTGATTTAGAATTCAAAACAAATCCTAAGAACACAAGTTCATGTGTAGGTACAACCACAGATTTTTCCTTATTGATTTTAAAACCTAATTGTTCAAAGAGTTCTTTTGTATCTTGAATATTTTTTAAACACTGTTCATATGTTTCTCCTTGTAAATAGGAATCGTCAATGTATGCAACTGACACATGTCCTTTAGATCTGAGTGAAGCATACACAGGCTTTAGGAGTTTTGTAAAAAGCCTGGGTGCACTTGAAAGGCCATTTGGTAAACAAGTGTACTGATACAGGGTTCCTTTCCATATGAATCTTAAATATTTTCTGTCGGAGAAAGCTACATTCACAGTATAATATGCATCACTTAGGTCCACAGAACCCATATAACATCTAGGTTGAATTAATCTTAAAGCTGAACACAGTCTTTCCATTTTAAAATGAGCATACTCAATGTTTTCATTTAGTTGTTTTAAGTTCAAAATAACTCGATAGTTACCATCCTTTTTTGGACGTAAAAACACAGTCGAGATATATTCACCTGCAGAGTGTGAAGCTATCTCCACTACCCCTTTAGCCATTAGCTTTGATAACTGATTGTCTAAAGCAACTGCCTCTGCAGCATTAAGTTTAGTTTCTCTCACTGAATATTGAACAGGTAAAGAAGTGAACTCTAATGAATATCCTTTGACAGCATCAAGGATGTATCTATCTTGTGTAATAGATTTCCACACAGGTAGAAAATGGCTAATTCGCCCAGCATGTTGAATGTCACCTACCTTCTCTACTTCTGGTGGGACGCAGATTTCTTCGTGTAGCTTTTCTTTGTGTCGTGATTGTTGTGGTGGTAGTTCCTGCTGTAATTCCCCAGCTGGTAGTGCTGGGGTCCTCTCCCTAAAAAATTTGTTTTAGCTCTTTCTTTGAACTTTAGGCGAGGATTGAATTTCATTCTCGTTTTGGAGCTTTTGTCTTCATACGCTACCTTGTTTGCCATTTTGTTATGTTCAGTAATGTTTTTCATTTTGTCAACCACATCATCACCAAACAAGTATGCTGTAATTTCAGTCTGACTTGTGCACAGTTTCTTATATTCTTGTTTCATGTTGTTTTTAATACACGCTTTTCTGTGCAAAGAAATCTCAGTATTAGCAGAGGCCAACATGGCCACGCCATCGAGTAGATCTTTTGCAGCTTTGTTTTTGTCAAAGTCATTGTTAGGTTTCAGCAAACTATCTACCACTTTGATCACCGGACCAAGTCCTTTTAATAAGGTTTTCTGAATTTTATGTACCTTAACATCCGTCGATCTCGTAGTTTCGTTCATGCAGTAATTCCACACAAAATCATTCACTCGAGGAAATTCCAACTTACAGTTCTCAGGTCGTAAATGCTTATCAAATAAGTCATTTTTCTTCGAATCCTCGAGTTTGTTAACTAACAACTTATTAACTAAGTCTGCCAATTTAGTAGCAACACCATCTGACGTTTTTTCCTCTACAATATAGTTGGAAACCGCAAACAGATGATTCAGATCTTCCTCATGTTTATCCGAGCCGCCATTTTTGTTTCCTTCTACGTCACATCCGCCCAAGTCTGAAGGCCCCGCCTCCTTTTGACTGACAGCGGGTAATTTTCCACGCGCGGTCGACTCTGACTCGCTGCTGATCTTAGCCTTTTTTGGCGCATTTTCTGTAACGTTTTCAGACTTTCTTTTGGCTGAATTTTTTACCAAATCCGAATCACTCTCATCTGTCGACTCTGCTTCCACATAAATCATATTGTTAATTGCATCCAAAGATTTTTTCATGGCAAGCATCGCCAGATTTTGGTCGACCATGAATTTCTTAAACATAGTCTCTGTCACAAATTCAGTGTTGTTAACACGATCTTGTTTCTCATGAGTCTCTTGCGTAATTACGCACCTTGCGCTAGTCCCCAGAGAATCATCGTCTCCCCACTTATGGGTATCTTGCGACGAATGTTCATTATTAAGTGCATCTCGCTTACGAGATTTCATTGCACCTTTATGTACATCTTGCTCATGATGCGTGTCTGACTGTTCTGTAGACATCACTTGTGTAAGAAAATCCCCCAAAATGGCGTCGGAGCCTGAGGGACGCTCCTCGTCCATTATTGAACTTCGTCAATATGTAACTGCACAGTTCAAATAACCGTTTGAATTTACCGCAAATGTTCCGCACTAATTCACTGTCCAACTAAATCGTAAAATATACTATAAATATCACAAAATAAGGTTAAATCCAAATAAAATATAGAGCGTAAAATTCCACGACTGATCGAATCTGGGTCAAACTTCGCATTGAATTCTGGGAGTTGCTTTGCAATCTCACATGATCTCGATACTGACGTATGCTGATGGAGAATTCGTCTTGGAATTCTCATAATATTCCATAGGAGCACTCTTCTGGTGGCCATTTTGGACTTGAGTTGATGTCTGAGACAGCTTTTTACTAGACTCAGCATTTTTGAGAAAAACTCAAGAAAAAACTCTAACTGAGTAAGACTCTAGTTTCGTGGCACACTTTATTGAGTTCAACTCAGCGAGTCGAGAAAAAAACTCAGATTTGAGTAAAATACAGCCCTTGAGTTTGACTCAAGACGTTCGTGGCCCCGGGGCCTGGATTCACTTCAGAAAAAGTGTATATAGTCATGCCTGAGACAACCAAAAACATTTGTCTATAGACCAGCACAAGTCAACAAATTACATGTGTATATGGTCCTACACAAGTCAACAGAAATGTGTGTCATTATGCAGTTCCATGCAGGTCCTGCAAGACTTATAAATACATCACATGTGCATATGGTCCTGCACAAATCAAGAAAACATGAGTGCATATGGTCCTGCACAAGTCAGCAAAACAGATCACATGTGTATATGGTCCTACACAATCAACAAAAATGTATGTCATTCACTACCATGCAGGTCCTGCCCAAATCAACAAACACAAGTGCATATGGTCCTGCACAATTCAGCCTATTACATGTGTATATGGTCCTACACAAGTCAACAAAATTTGTATGTCATTATGTAATACCATTCAGATCTTGCACAAATCAACAAACACAAGTGCATTATTGTGCATATGGTCCTGCACAATCCAATAAAATACATGTGTATATGGTCCTACACAAATCAACAAACACAAGTGCAGTACTGTGCATATGGTCCTGCACAATCCAATAAAATACATGTGTATATGGTCCTACACAAATCAACAAACACAAGTGCAGTACTGTGCATATGGTCCTGCACAATCCAATAAAATACATGTGTATATGGTCCTACACAAGTCAACAAACACAAGAGCATCTGGTCCTGCACATATTTTCCCTGCACAGTTCAACAAAATTCATGTGTATATGGTCCTACACAAGTAACCAAAATATGTGTGCATAGGGACCTGCGTGAGTCAACAACTTGCATGTGCATATATTGTCCTGCACAAGACAGCAAAAACAAAATACATGTGCATATGGTCCTGCACAAGTGACTAAGTCAACAAAATACAAGTGCGTATGGTTGTGTACAAGTAAACAAAACAAAATTTATGTGAATTTGCCATAATTATGTATGGTTCTGCATGAGTTGACAAAATACATGTGAACATAATTCTGCCCAGATCAACAAAATACGTGTGAATATAATTCTGCCCAGATCAACAAAATGCATGTGCATATAATCTTTCATGAGTTTAAAGCCTGAAAAGGTAATACATGTGCACATGGTCTTGTACAAGTCAACAAAATACATATGCATATTGTTCTGCACATGTCCACAAAATATGCGTATATGTTCCTACAAGACTCAACCAAATAAATGTGCATGTGTCAGTGAAATAAATGTGAATATGGTCCTTCACAATCATAAAATACAACATAACGTGTAAATCAGTGGTGGGTTTGCATGGTAAACATAAGTAGTGTATGTGGACCTCACTTCTACACTAATTCTCAGTAAAAGGTCACCTCAAACTATGGTGTACAACCTTAGCAACAATACTATATCAGCATTAAATTATGTTAATCATTCTACATATATACAAGCTGTGCCTATGACCTGCACAGTTTATGTGATAAATGTGTATGTGGTCCCACGTACACTATGTCTTGATTCAACAATTGAAAATTTGAATCATACATAATAAGATTTGTGCACCCATATAATTACAATATTTTACCAACATCACATAGGCAACTAACTCCAAACAAAATTTTTGGCACCGTGAACAACATATAAGTAAACTTGAGTAAGATCATTCATTGTTCAAACTCTTAAGAGGAAAAGCAGGATTTGTTACCAAGTATGATACCTGTATTGGTAAAAATATTGCAAAATTATATAAGGAACCCAAAAACTTGAGCCTTTAATTATGAACTAGCTAACTTAGTTTTATGGATAACACATGACTTCATCAGAAGTACTATACTATACTGGCCTGTTTTATACTGGGAATGCAGGAGTGTCAAGTGAATACTACATCAGCATCAATGGAGATCTCATAACTTGTAAAAAGGTAACACTCGTCACTGCTGAGCTGTTTATATTCGCTCATCAATATCTGGTTTGTGTAGATGATTCTGACATTCAAGTCATTGAAGAAGCGAAGGGTTTCCACTGTAACAAACAGGTTCTTATTCCCCGGCCAAGGTGAATGTAAGAAGCAAAACTGTCTTGTGATATTTTGGATGGACAGTTAATAAAAATGATGTTATCACATAGATGCACATTTTCAAAGCTCGGCAAATTGCAAATCACCGTAAATAGGAAAAAGTTCCTAAAGGAATGAAGTTACCGGTGTGATTGATAAAATCTCCAGGCTTGATCATGGTGTTAGAATTAACGATGTAGGTGAATCACTGACGGCCAGTTGCAAAAACCTCCCAGGAACAAGTCTATACACTGTCAGGTCTATAATATTATTGTTTACAGCAGAGACATACAGCGAAGGGTCTATGTTTACAGCTGACATAGTTCATGTAAGAGTTTTCGGGATCTCGAGCCCGACATTATTTACTACATATTTTACACCACTGTAGATACACTGACACTGTTTATCGATCGTTAACCAAAGGACAAGTGCACTTAAGCAATACTTAATGGGCCCTTTTTATGAGCCATTTTAATTTAGAATGTATTACTAAATCGTTCTCTTTTGGTAATAGTTTGATACTAGTGGATATTTCTAATTAAAAAAACATGTTAAGTATCATTTAAATCAGCATGGATTTGAAACAGTTGAATATTTTTGAATGCCTATATGGATACCCTAAATCCGGAAAAGTCGTACCGAACCTTCTTTTAGTTTCGTTTATGTAAATCAAGGGGAATAGATATTTAAATCGACACTTGAACAAACTGATGGTGGATCATAGTCGGGCGCGTTTGCGGAATATTACTTCGTGTGCCAAACATGTTTTTAAAAATATTGAATCAAGTTGTGTAGTTGCCTGTAGCTATAATGATTTAACTAAGAAATTGGTACTCTTGCATTTGAAAAGTTACAATTACAGTTTCATTAAAAAGGAGTGTTTCGTTGGCTTTCAATACCTGTTTCATTGTCTTGCATGAAGGTTAAAAATGTTTGATACTTTTATCAACGACACTAAACTCTCTTTACCCTCCGGTGTTCTTAAAAACAAAAACTTACAAGTATCTCTACGCGGCACGATATTGACTTTCTGATACAAAACCTGCCTATGTTTACCAGTGAGCACATTTGAGGAATGTTTACCTGGGTAGAACTCACGTGACTATCAGTATTTTAAATAATTTATTCCACATGTGGGTTCAACATGGGTCATACAGGTAAATAGCTATCACTTGCTATAGGAAAAACACTGTACTTTTTATACATTTTTAATATTTTAAGTACCAGCCTAATCGTGTGCAAATTTCATACTTTCACACAAGTTTTACAAATGTATTATGCGTCTTTTGTCATTCGCACAAGTTTGCACAACGTTAGGCTCATAGTTAACAAAAGCTTTGAAATGAATGACCGTTCTCGATTTACTATAGAAAATCACAAATGTCGGCTGACCCCTACTACTTTGTATAGTTTTGTTCTTTGTATATTCGTGGATTTCAGTGGTAAAATTTGCTGAATCTTATGGTTTAGATATGAATTGATTATTTGAGATGAAAATTTTTGCTTAATTTGATTGTTTATTTTTTCACATTTTACCGGGGCCCATAAGTGCACTCGTTCTTTACTTCAATTGACCATATTATTCCCCAGACGACTCGTAGTAATAGAATATCCATGTAAAAATCACATGTAAATTATTTTGGTCGTCCTGAGTTGTGAACCCATCAGCATGCTAAATGCCCGGATGTAAACTTTACAAGGCCGATTTCGTAACAAAAACTCACTTTACAGACGTTTTTCTGTAAATAACAAGCAGATCACATCGTCCGAAATCTTCAAAATGGTATCACAACAAAAGCTGTAAGATTTTCTGTGGGAAATATGGTATAAATTCGAAAAATTCAGCAGTTCAATAAACCATGCTTTCTCTTTTGGTAAACGGATCAATAATGATCACGTGATGGATAAGAGCTTTGCTGATTGGTTGAACCCATATTTAGATGTAGGAAAAGGGGTAAAATTAGTTCAATAAAAGAACCGAATAGCTGCTTAGTATAAAGCTATGTACAATACAGATACTGTTATATAATAACATAATAAAACAAGAACATGTCACATAAATGAAATTATTTGCAATAATCACTATTTTGTTTATACTTCTGCAAAAGTACATCTGTCTTAGAATTATATAAGTCGTGTCACTATTCATAAGTTCGCACCAAACGCCAGGAGTAAATCCTCGTGCCTTTTCTTTGGAATGTTCTATTAAATAGGTGTGATAGTTTCAAAGAAATATAAAAGATAATAATAAATAGATCAGTGTAACAACCAGTAGCTGAATAACACTTTCCTAAATCCATGCATTATTAACTATTTTTTTACGCATACGAAGAATTTTCACGAAATCTGCGAACAAATCCAGCTCGCGGATATTTATCGTCGCGAACCAGTCCTTCGCTGTGCCATATGTTAATTCATGAAAATATCGTGATAGTATGTAGGACAGTGATGAGCGAGTGTGGCATGTAGTACAGTGAATGTTCTCAAATTTAAGAAATTATGTTACTTTTTCTTCTCAAGCTTATTCGTTATTGACATTCAAGTATAATCAATGATCACCTTTAACTGTGGTTTTGAGTACAGCAAAAAATTACCATCTTGTATTGGAGTGGTATATGCAAATGAGGTACAACAATTAGAGTAATTTGCCCTTTACTGAATATCAATTCATGTAGATGATGTTCTACCGT